AAAAAAAAAATCTACTTGCTGTGTATGTTCTGCTGTTCCTCAATGACCTGTAAATTGCCTACTACCTTTGAAATCCCAGACCCCTACCCGCCTTTGTCGAAAGTAACAAAACATACGAACCCATTTTACCTCACAGTCTTTGGAATTTTCATGCTTATGTGAATTCCCTGAGTGCCTGCATTAAAACTTGATTTTCTCCTGTTACTCCGTCTCTGTTAAGTTGATTATTAGCCCAGCTAGAAGAACTTAGAAGGTGGGAGGAAAAGTATTACTTTTTTTAGCCCCCACACCCCAAGCCTCTTCCCTCCAATTCGATTAAGTAAAGCTGTCTACCATCTCAGTGTATCAATCAGTTTTTGGAAGGTAGATTCACATTACTGACAAACTAGGTAGGACCTTGCTGCTTGATAAGCAGGTAATGACATTCATGGCTCACCACATTCTGCCCCAGCTCTATGTGTCCAGCTTTATCTTCCAAAATTCCCCACCACAAACTCTTTGCTCCAGCCAAGCTGTTTTATTTTCTGCCCCCAAAATCTCCCTTCCTTTTCCTTTGTCTGTCCTTCAAGACTTGTTTCAGATCCTATTTTCATTTGTTTATTCAGTAAGCACTACTGCGTGCCTACCATATACAGCGCACTGTCAGGAGTGCTAAGGTACAACAAAAACAAGCCTGTCCTTATGTAATTTATATCCTAGCAGGAAAATGATACATTGCAAAATGAATTAATTTTTAATTAAAATGTAATTACTACAGTTGCGATAAATGTTGAAAATATGAGGCACAGGAAAATAGGATAACCTTTAATGGGGGGATGAACCAGTTTAGGGGATCACAAAGGCTTTCTCTCCTACGTTGTTGCTACAACCTTTTTAGACAACAATATGGCAATATATTAAATCACACAGATCCTTTAACCCAGCGATTACATTTTTGAGACTTTTTCATACAACAGTAAAAGTACCAGTACTTAAAGCAGCATGTGACTTTGGTTCCTAGAAAAGCTGCAAATGTTCCCAAGAGGTAATATCTCTAAGCTAGCCTAGTGGATTGAGGTCAGCAAATGAAAGTAATCCACTGTGCCACAAAGTACTATTCAAGTGGATGGACTCATGAGATGCGCATAGGGAAAAGGACTAAAACACTTTTCTTAACCTACCCAACAGAATCTAATACAATAAACACTCTATAAATATTTGTGGAAGGAGAGGCAAGGGGGGGGGAGGGAAGAAACAGGTTTAAATATGTTTGGGAGAGAGAAGAGATAACCATTAAACCATTATTGGCATGATGAATCATTGCAGAACCTCTAAATGAATAGTGGGAGGGAGTAAAAAAGAGTTACTTGATCAGGCGGGCAAAATAAAATAGGAAAAGTGAAAAAAAAGTAAATAATAGATACCAATGGAAGAGATAAGAGCAACACTGCAGTTACTCCAATGAATGTAAGTGGATTGAATTTACCTATCAAATGAAAAAATCTTTTATATTGGGTGCAAAATTCAACTAGGTGGTGTGCATATAAAACACATACTACAAAGGGAACATATAACAAGAAGGATCCTGTCTTGGTGTAGAATTAACCCCTGGTCATTCGCAGAATGTAAAAAGAATTTATAAGACTCTACAAGAGTATCCAGAGAAAAGATTTTATTGAAAGTCAAAAAGGGAGAGTGAGAGTTTTGTTGGAACTGGCAGGAGTTTTGCCAGGGCAGTCTGAGAGAGAGCTGCGGAGACAGAGGGATAAGAGAGATACTGGCAGAAGTTTGCCAGGGCAGAGTCCAATGAGGGACAACTGCACCGATGAGAAGGAGTGCTGGGGTTTCATGTTTTTCTAAGAAGGATGTAGAGTGCTTGTCAGCTTGCAGGAGGGCTGCCGTTAAAATTGTCTTCTCCTGGTAATTGTCCTGTTCCCATCTATGATGGATGTCAGTTTGTAGGGGGATACTGTTGCAATTGGGAACTGTTCCGTTCCCATCTATGATGGGTGTTTGCTAGTGTGCAGGGGGTTGCTGTTGCGATTGGGAACTATTGGGTTGTCAGAAAAGTCATGAAGTATTTTTTCTATGTTTTTCGTTATAAAAATGCATCACGACTTTTCCGACAACCCAGTATTTTGTTCCCACCTATGATGGATGTAAGGAGCTTGTCAACCTGCGGGTGCAGTGCTGGCCAGAGGAGTCAGAGCCAAGCGGTTAACGTTTAATCTCGCGCCTGCCAGCTTACAAACTTGCACCTGTTAACTCCTTGTCTGTCCCATCCTGCCAGCTCACAAGCCCACTCCCATGAACTCTTTATTTGTCTCATCAGATCCTATTCACAATCCACAAATACCATTAAAATATTTCAGAATACACCTAGCAAGTGTAAGACATGTATGAAAAAAGCTGCAAAATTTTAGTGAATGTGTTAGTTTCCTATTGCTTCAGTAACAAATAACCACAAACTTAGTGGCTTACATCAACCCAAATTTATTATATTACAGTTCTGTAGGTGAGAAGTCTTACTGGGCTAAAGTCAAGGTGTCAGCAGGGATGCCAGCAGGACTGGGTTCTTCTTGGAGGCCTAGGGGAGAATCCCCAACAACTTGCTCAACTAAG